GCCGAAACATTGTGTTTTCTCCCTTTCTCCCTTTTTCTCAGCGTGGAATAAACCTATTACTTGTATATGTCAAAGTATTGTATTTTGTCAAAATGATGAAGGTCGGCATTTCACGGATCCGCGGACAGAGGCTGTGCCGTGTCGTTCATCAGAACCGGTCCCGTTTCGGCTGGGCTCCGAGCCTCCCTCTCTACCCACGCGGCGGAACGCGACCCCGCCCCACGCCCGACAGCAGCGGGACTTACCGCGCAACATTCTCCACAGCCACGGTGTCCGCAGCAGTCGCAGCACTCGTAGTCGCCCAAGCAGATGAACACGCCCGCGGGCAGGAACATCTGAAAAGCCGGAGAAGAGGGCCCTGAGTTTCCTCCACTCTGTTCCCACACGGGACGGGCGCCGAAGTTCACACGGGGATCCCATGGTTTTGTACGAATGTGACACGTGTATTATTATTATTATTATTATTATTATTATTATTATTATTCATTACACCTTTATATATATAAGACTTTTGGACACTCCACTCAAAGCACTGTGTAGCCCCCACCTAGAAACACTCGACCCGTCTCATCTGGTGATGGGGCATCTGCTCAGTTTGTCAGTTTGTACAGTATGTCAGCGTATTCCATCTTATAATAATAATAATAATAATAATAATAATAATAATAATAATAATAATAATAATAATAGTTTTATTATTAATTCCTCACACTTATGTAGGGCTTTTCCCTGGACACTCCACTCAGAGCGCTTTGCAGGTCATGGGGATCCCCTCCACTCCCACCAGTGTGCAGCCCCACCCGGATGATGCGCCAGTCCGCTCCCCACACACCAGCTCTCAGTGGGGAGGAGAGCAGAGTGATGAAGCCCGTTCAGAGACGGGGGTTATTAGGAGGCCATGATCGGTAAAGGACAGGGGGAAATTTGGCCAGGACACAAATGTTCTTTTTGGAGAAACACCCTGGGATTTTTCACGACCAGAGAGAGTCAGGATCTCGGTGCGGTCCAAGATCTCACCACGACGTCTGGTGATCCTGCAGGAAAGGAGCATTTAGTCTCGATTCTCAGGCGTGGGGGAGCAGGTGCGGTTTCACCACCGGATCGGAAAAGGTTCCCCCCGAGACTTGACTCGCTGGGCGCCCACACTTAATCCACAGGGCGTCTTCGTCGCTTCGGAAGAAGACAAGTGTCCTCGCGTTGGTGAGAGGTAAAGCTATTTTTGTATTACCCTACCTTTAAAGTCTTTGAGAAAAATAAGTGAATGCCCTCGGTGGGTTTGGTTTCCAGTCTAAATTCACGCAGCGTGGATTCCTCCGACAGAGGTGGGGGGAATTCTGCACCAGAGCGCCACCGTGTGGGAGATCCGTTCATTCCCTCGGGAGTTGGAAAACCGCCCAGGTACCAGTCTGTCTTCACGCAGAAGGAATGGAATTTCATCTAACTTTCTGCCCGACGTCTGAAAATCGTTCACCTTTATATAGGATAGAAAAAGTAGACAGGCTGAACAGCCATTTCTCTCTCCTTCTGTTCTTCTGTTCTGTTCAGACTCTGTTCTGCTCTCCTGTTCTGTTCAGACTCTGTTCTGCTCGTCTGTTCTGTTGGTGTAAAACCAATTCACAGTGCTCCAGACGGAGGTCATTCCTGACTCAGTCGGGGTGTGTGGGGTTTGGGTAGAGGACACTGGTGTGACTGGTCCTGCTCAGTGAAGGCGCTTGGGTTACCGGCAGTCCTCTTGCTGTCGCTTCCAGAACCCGTCCTTACAGGAAGAACTGCCGCCAGGCTACACTGGCCTGTAGCAGAGGCACACAGGGGCGGAGCGGTGGCTCTGGGGCTAGACGGCTGCCGGTTCAAATCCCACGGCCGGCAGAGGAATCCTACTCTGTTGGGCCCCCGAGCAAGACCCTTCACCCCAACTGCTCCAGGGGAGCTGTATAAATAGCTGACCCTGCGCTCTGACTTTAAACTTCTCTGTCCCTGTCTGTGTGTCTCATGGAGAGCAAGCTGGGGCATGCGAAAAGACAAATTCCGAATGCAAGAAACTGTATAGGGGCCAAGAAAGTGTGTCGGTCTGGCCACATTGCTGCTTCTCTCTCTCTCGTTTGCGAATCTCTTTTTAAGAACATTTTCACTTTACATTTTCATCTACCGGTATTGTTGTTGTATTTTTGTGATGCTGTAAAATTCTTTTTTTTTAAATCGCTCAGATCTGAGAAAGACCACATGACCACAAGAGTTGTGGGAACAGATACACAATGAGTTAGAGGGTCTTATGCAAACGTCCTTAAGGACTGCGCTGTTGTTTCCTAATTTTCTTCAGGGCTTCAGTGTTTTCCAGACTGTCTATCCGTGAGTGTTTTTAAAGAATTGCTTAAATAGGAAGTATTGTAAATCGGATCTCAGAGATTCTCGGCTTTAGAGCAGCATCACAGTGACGACGATGCACATCCCTGCCACCAGGTGGCGGTAAAAGAACATTTTTTTTAACAACAAAGTTTATTACAACGATCACGCCTGCTGTATGATTATCAACCGCGATACCATGACGCGAACATCACATTTATTTATAATACCCGCAACAGCTCGTGGGAGGTTTTGGTTACTTTGACGACCTTTATTTTTAAAATCAATTTTTAATAGTTGCTTCCGTCCTCCCAGAACCTGTACTAGATTTTTCCCAGAACCTGGCGAGTTCTGGAAATACCTAACTGACGACGCACATACAATATACTTTTGTTGCATTTAATTGTTATAACGTTATTCACATTTTTAGGAAACTCACGTCTCACAGCCAGTTCAATCAATAGGGTGTTGTTGAAGAGGACAGAGCAGGGATGGGCGTCAGTGAGTCAGCTGCACAGAAACAGCTAGACTTTCTTTCCAGGCTGAGACTCCACAGCTGAAACAATGATTTCCACCGCTTTTCAGCTTCGACGTGACCCTTGCTTGTTCCATTATTTTAAACGACGTTAACCAAAAGCCGTTGCTTTTTCGTTCACCATACAGTCCGTCTCATTTCCCCCTTAAACATGAGCTCGTCGATTGCTTTACAACCTGCTCCATCTGAAAGCCGTTGTTTGTAAGCCAAGATGCGTTCGAAAAGAGCCAAGAAGACCTTTAATGCCGCGATTAAAAACAAACGGGTCATTTCTGAGTTGTAAGGACAGGCTTTTAGGATTGTGTGCAGTCTGGTTTTAAAGAAGGAAGAAATGCTGTCCAATACGCAGTCCCCATGTATGGGCTGCTGGTTTTGAGCGGAGAATACAGGTTGGCCAGGTGATCATCGAAGGCTTCCACACCATGTGCTCTTCCACACACAAGTGTGCGAAGCGTGCAGTGCCGCCGCCACCCCGTGCACAAGGATAGGAGGACAACACAGCAGGTCGGCTTGATCCTTTCAGACGCGGACTCAAGATCCGTGCAGCAGGGAAACGAGCAAAGGAGAACCAGGTTACTCACCAGCACCCCTCCTCCGACTATCCCAGCGAAGAACCAGACGTACGTCGCGAGATGGCCGTCTTTGACATACGTGGCGTCTCCATCGGGGAAGTAGAGCAAGATGTTGGCGACGATGCAGCACACGGCCAGAGGTATCAAGGTGTAGCCGATGCACTGGGCGCAGCTCCGGGAGCACATGGTCAGTGAACAGCAGGCACCGCTGTCAGACACTCCAGCTGCAGCCCAGGCAGCTGCTCCTTAAGTAGCGCGACCCCGTTTCCTACGAGGACAGGAACCAGCGGGCCCGGCGCATGAGCGAGCGCTCCGGCTGCGCAGAGGCCCCGGCGGCCAACCCCAGAGGGAGGGGATGTTCCGCTTCGGCGAGGATGAGGGGCCCCATTGTTCCAGCGGCCCCCCAGAATAAACAAGCAAGCCCTTCTTGGTAACGCCGTCTCCATGGCCGCCGTCCAAGGAGCATTTTTTTAAGCAATTGTTCCTGCACAAGCAAACAACTGGAAATAGTGACGTGGAGGTTGAGGTCACATGCTTTCTAGAAACTAGCACAGCACGGGATGAAGGAGTCCTCTATTTTCAGCTGGGACTGCGACATGAACGGAGCAGACAGTGTGACATGCCCTTGTTGGAACAAGCACCTTCTTTCCAATACAGGCCTGCACCATCACAAAACAGCAGGGCTGGGAAAAGCGGATCGCTGTGGCTTAAACCCGGTGATCACGTTCAGACACGAGCTGATCACTTACTCCATCACAGCAGGGCGTTACAAGTTATTCTCACCTGGTCAAACCCCAGTGAAACTGTTCACAGCGGACTGAAGTGATGTCAGACCTGCCATCTTCCATACTATTGTGCCCATGGTCCATCATATCAACAGGAGAAATCAAAGCTACATAACTTACATAGGGTATGACTTTCTTTGTTCCTGCGGTAATAACCAAAAAGCACAACTGATCATGTCTTGCCATTCATTTCATTTACATACAAGCCACAAACATGCATTGAAAGGACTAGGGTTCAAACAGTTACCAAGAAAACCACAAGAACAGTTTTTTTCTCTACAGTTTAACACAAATGGAACAGTGCTCTTCACTGGTAACCAACGTGCAGCGAGACCTCGGAGGAAAACATGCAAAAGGAAAAACCAACAGTTCCTCTTTTCAAGGCAGCATGATTTAAATAGAGAACCTTACATGTCCCAAAGGGCTGTCCCCTCTACTATCTATATATAGTTATTCAAATATAGTTTGCGAGCAATAACCATTTATACCGATCCAGTCAGCGCAACACCCTCTGATAGTGATTGTGCATGGCAAAAGCATTTTATTGTACTGGGGTTTTGCCATTTTCTATGTGTGCTATTCATAATGAACGAATATGTGTGTATATATATTAGAAAGGTATAAAACAGATTAGAAGCTAATCTGATTTCATCCAGCTGTTTCTTGAAAGAAGCCAGGGTATCGGGTTTCAGCAACAAGGCCAGGCAGCTTGTTCCACACCCCCACAACCCTTGTGGTAGGGAAGGGGGATGACATCTTCAGCGCTTCTGAGGATCTTGAATCCCTGAATAAGGTTCCATCGCAGTCTGCATTCAAGACTAAAATGGTTCAGTTCCCGATGCTTGTGAGTGCAGGACTTTTCACTACAGAATATACCTGGTGTCTCCTCTCTGGATCAATTCCACAGCAGCAATATATTGTCTATAATATGGTGACCATCATTGTACACAATATTCTAAGTGACACCTGACTAATGCATTACAGTTTTCACATCACATTCCTGTTTCAAATCTAAACTTGTAACTATCCTAACTTTCTTTCGCCTTTGTAATTGCTTCTTTGTGTTGCCTAGATGTTATCGATGTGTCCGCATAAAGAGGCAAGTCTTTTTCATAAGTATACAGAACGCATAAGAATGGCCACCATACAGTATACAGCCAGCTACACTTGCTCATTAGTTTACTGTGAGTAATAAACACTGTTTGTCACACTGATGTGGCAGCTACACCTGCTAAACCTTTACTGAAACATCATTCTTCCCAGAATAGCTAGTTTAGATTCCTAGTGGATTAAATCTCAATGTTCAGAGTTAAGTTCACTGGTGTAAGTTTTGCCACTTGTTTTTCTCTAAAATATGTCAGTTCCCTGCAGGGCTCCTGGGTCCTGGGTCTGGACTGTGTAAGGGAAACGTTTAAAAACACGGACAGCAAGTGAAAACGGAACGGTATTTACTTGGGAAGGCCGCCACCTTCCAGCACCCTCCACATCAGTTTCGAAATATCTCCAAAAATTCCAGAGCGGTGACTCAAGGCGAGTCCCCCGACAGAGACGCAGGAAACAGGAAAGAGGGACAAGGGCCAGGAGCCGAGGAGTCACGCTCACTTTCTCCGAGAGGCAAAGCTCTAAAGGAGGCGGATTCCCGTTGACCTCCAGCTTTTGGTCCAACCCAAGTCGTTAAACCATTAACAGTCATTTAATGAGATAAATAAGAATTTATCAGGCCTTTTATGGCTGATTACTCAAGGCATGAGTTTCATTAACCATGGGGAACAAAGGGGGCAGCCAAGAAGTCTTATAGTCATGCAGTAAATTATCAGTAAAACTATGCGACTAAGAGATTGAGTGGAACAGAACCTGGGAGACACTGGGCTCTCTGAGAACTGAGCCTGTGTCCCAGGACATATGAGATTACACAAGTCTGAGTTGTACTGGGAGGCAAAACATCCTCTCTCATGAACTCTTATTCCGTCACACAATTTGGGCTCTCAGAGCTGGGACCAGCATTCAAAGAGGCAATTAAAATAAGACACTTAAATCTTAGCTGGGGGTGTTGAGAACTGAAGAAAGGTTACCGACGAGAGGTCATTCAGTCCATCCGGCTCGTTTGGAAGTTAAAATTAGTAGTGAGATGATCTAAGGATCTCATCCAGCTGTTTCTTGAAAGAAACCAGGGTACTGGCTTCAACAGCCATGAATATTCTGGAAAAATTGGAGTTCAGAATGGTTCCAACACTTGAATCTCATAAAGGCATCAATATTGTACATTGTTTCATAGCACAGTAAGCAAAAGATAAACTAGTGTCAATTATCCAACATCTGGATTCTGGATCAGTGGTGCATCTGTGTACACCGACCGGTACAGAAAACTATATTCTACATTAAGAAAGAGTTCAAAACTGGATTACACCAAGTACATCGGCGAGAATACTATTTGATCAGTTCTATAAGGCCTTCCATCATATTCATGCTCAGGATAAATGTTAAAATTCGCCAGCAATTAAAAAAGTAATCACAATGAGTAAAATATTTGAACTTGACAATGGCACAGCTTAATACCCCACAGCACAGCCATCTGCCCTGGGGTCAGAGCCTGCCCACCACACCCTCCCTGACTGCTCAGGGCTATAGGAGTCTGGGTCCCACCAACACCCATCAGCGATGACCTGCCCACGTCCAAATTCTGCCCGGTCGTGTCCCGACACCGGCCAGCGAACGCTGTGCCCTCGAAGCTCCAATTCCTTCGCCACGCCTTCCATAATGCCCTCCTCCAGGGACAGCTGCCATGCCTGCACTGTTTCAGAGAAAAGAGAGATATTCATGGTCTTGTACACCCCCCAACCCCTTTCTGAATTGCAACTCATACTACAAACACAAAAAGAGAGAACATAGTCGTTATGTCCTATGTGCTGTGTGCAGTTATTCCGTCTCACCTGGGCTTGCTCAAGCCACCGAACCGGAACTGACCAGACTGCCGGAGCTCTGCGCGTCAGCACACTTGGTTCTTACCAAGAATTCTGATTTGCCGACAAGGACTCTGGAAATGGGCAGCAGGGGGGTGCAGTGGCTGGCACTGCTTCACCCCGCTGGGTTCAAGTCTGGACCTGGAGTTCACCCCTGTGCGTGTGGACTTCCTCAGGGTGCTCTGATTTCTTCTCCCAGTCCAAAGACATACTGGCAGGCTTATTGGTTTCTGGGAAACCCGGCCCTGGAGTGAGTGTGTGTGTCTGTGTCTCTGTGTGCCCTGTGATGGACTGGCGTCTTGTCCAGCCTTGCGCACCGCTGCCTTGCGCTCGTTAATTGCCAGGCCTGGCTCCTGCTTCCCCGTGATGCTGAATTGGATGCAGCGGTGAGAAAGGAATGGATGGACTCGGAAAATTACCACATCAGACAAAGGCAGAAAGTGAGCCATTGCAATCTCTGAATGTTTCTGAGGCCCAGTTTAAATGAACACGTCGGATGGAGCTGCCAATCACCGATTCCAAACCCTCGCCCTCGATCGTGACTGATGGCTTGTCCATGGTCAACTAGACTAAATACTGGATTCAAATTCCCAGTGAGCAGGCGGGTCAGATGTCCCTCTAAAAAAAGCGTGTGAGCTGCTGTATTGCTCCAGGCTCTCAAACAATGTGGTCGCTGACTTACTGCGCTTGTTATACTGGACGAAGATCCGAGGGGCATCGAGAGCTTCTTGTGGATTCATTCCAAACTCCAGCATGTTAAGCAGCACCTAACAAGACCAGAGCACCTGTGAAACTGCAGGCCATGACACGCAGAGCAACAGATCCAAACAAGAGCAGGCCCTGTGACCCATCCAGCTAGTTTCAGAGTAGATAATTCAGCCGAGAATGTCCTCCAGACGTTTCTCGAAAGAAACTAGGCTACCAGCTTCAACAGTATGACACGACATCTTGTTCCACACTCCTACCACCTTTTGCGTAAAGATGTGCCTCCTGCTCTGTTTATCCTGCACTTCAACATACTTTCCACTTGTGTCCTTCTGGTCTGGTTTTCACCGTTCATGATACCAGGAGCAACACTTCACCGTGCGGACACAACTATCAGCTCTGCTGCCATTTCAAACACAGGTATTGTTTTAAAAAAAATGATCCAGCTACACCTAATGTGCAGTATTCCACACCCCTTAAAGCCAGATCATGATGACGCCAAGCAGTAATGGCACCTCACACCTTCCGAACAGCCCTAATGAGCCCTGCTGACCAAGCAGCCAGGACCGCAGTCGAACGTGTCACCCGGAGGGCAGACGGGGGGCGCCGGTCACCTGAACGTGTCCCTGCGGCTGCATTAAGGCCCCCATGACCCCGAAGGTGCACAGCAGGCGGCCCGTGTCCACAGCGGTCAGCAGAGCCGGGATGATGGTGTGGAAAGGCCTCTTCGCAGGCCCCACGCAGTTTCTGTGCTCACGGAGCAGAGAGAAGCCACTTCCCCTGTTCTAGCACGAGGAACGAGAACAAAACACAAAACACTCAAATACAGGAAGCAGCTAAGATAAACAGAGCCTTTTTGGTGGTTGTTGTTGTTGTTGTCTTTTCGGAATTATATTATTTATTTTGAAGATTCTTTAGGACGTTTCGCAGTGCAATCACAGTGGGGAAATGTCCTGCAACCATTTTAATTTTTCTCCTTTTAAAGTCTAAAGTCTAAACTATTTTAGCATAACTTTGAAAGTACCGAACGCAATCCCAGGGCGGATCCCACTTTATGCCCTGTGTTTCCGGAAGAGGCTCAGCGAACTTTACTGGGAATAGCAGGCTTTCTGACCCCTGAATAAATGTATCCATTTATAAGAAAGGTCATGTAAAATGTTATTACCTTCACTGCTTTAAACAATAACATACTAAACGCCTGTAACAGAACATAAATGTTAATACTACGGTTAGTACTAGCGATGTGCTCCTGCGTGTTTGGACCTTTCAGGAACAGGGCAGCTCTTGTTCAGCTGTCCTGTCGGATCACAGGGAACCCTGCTCTACCTGCAGAGTGAAGCCACAGCCAGCAGGAGCCAGGCCCGTCCCGAAGCCCATGTAGTTGCTGTTGATGAAGGAGCAGGCGTTGCCCTCCCGGTCCACCACAGTGAAGTACACCGTGTCCCCGCCCTCCGGAGCCCCATGCTCACAGCTGCTGCGCGCCCTGTTCGCAGGAGGCGTGAAAAGAAACAACATGGACCTGCAGACCTGAAGGGCTGCAGATCGGTGGTAGATAGCACATTAAACACCAGTGCCAAAAAGCTTGGAAAACTGGTGCCATAGGCAAAATACCAGCAGGCTGATACAGGGCGGAGTGGTGGCTCTGTGCCTCAGGATCTGCGCCTGTGGCTGAAGGTTGCCGGTTCAAATCCCGCAGCCGGCAGAGGAATCCTACTCCGTTGGGCCCCTGGACAAAGCCCTTAGCCCCAACTGCTACAGGGGCGCCGTATAAATGGCTGACCCTGCGCTCTGACCCCCAGCTTCTCTCCCTGTCTGTGTGTCTCATGGAGAGCAAGCTGGGGCATTCGAAAAGACAAATTCCTAAAGCAAAAAAATTGTATAGGGCTATTCAATTTTATTAATTGTATAGTGATCTATATTTCTAGTCCCACCTATAAAAGATAAGATAAATCTTATCTCTCTTATATTACAGGTGGGACTAGAAAGCTAATGAAAAACAGAAACAAAAAGAAAAACAACTTGTAATTTATGATTGGCTGACCAGACTAACTTTTAACTCTTTACTCTTTTAAGTCGAGTTTCATGCAAAATAATGTAAGAGAAAATTAGAGTATCTGAATTGTTGTGACAAATAAACAGATGTCCTATTAAACTCGTATTAGAGCACAACAGGTGAAATTAACAGTTTAAAAAAGGCTTAAACACTATTTAGAACACGTACAATCTGCTTCTTATGACTTCATCGCTACCCAGGGGTTATATGACACCAGCAAACGGCAGGACAGCATTTCGGTGAGCAACCCCAGAGGGCAAAGTCCGCCTGAAGCTTGGGGCTGTCCATGACTAGATCAATAAACCCTTTCCATCATGCTCTCCAAACAAGAGGCAGGCTCAGGCTTTTTTTAGGTGGTGATTACAGCAAAGGTGAGTAAACTCTCCTATCTAAAGTAAACAGTCGGTGCCTGACACAGGCAGTGCCGAGTTACAGGCAGGGGGGCTGCGTGATGCACACAGTCACTCAGTAACAGAATTCTACTGTTCCCAAACAAAGAGCCAGTCATTCGCTGGCAAGGCCATGTTCCCGCTTTCCAGACTCAAACTTACTTCTCCATGCTGATGAGCCCCGCCCGCCGCCGGCTGTACTCCTTCTCTAAAAGTCCCCCCACCGGCACGCGCACCTGCTCGGGGTCGGCGCAGTAGTGGGACGTGTCCGAGACGCCGAGTTTCAGGGCATCTGTCAGGACGTGGAGGTAATCCGCGCTGTTGTGGCCCATCTCTGGAGGGGGGGGGGCAGAGAGGCCACAGCGTCAGAACAGTCGCTCTCAGAGCACAAAGAAAGGTTGTGTATACCAGCGGTAAAGCAGTATGGTATGATAATGCAGTGAGAAATGAGACTCAAACGTCTGATACTTAAATGGGCAGTGGAAATGAAAGGCAACGCAGACAGAGAGCAGCAGTGTTACAGTACATGTGTGCTTACTCTGGATTTCAAAGGCTTTCAAAAGCCCTGAGTCCCATGCTGTGAAGCATCTGCCATAAAATCAGATGGTGTGCAGATGGGAATTTCACACTTATACGGTGACACCCGATCGTTTAAATGCGTTTGCGGTGCCATCTCTGAGTGAGTCGGGAAAGCCTGTAAGTGGGTGCCGCAGGTCAAACAGGCAACATCCCTGGCTTTAACAAAGAGAGGTTTGCAGTCAGGCTCTGTCAGGAGGAGCCCCATTCCCGAAGGAGACCTCCTTGAAGCCGGGGCTACCTTGGACAGAGAAGTTCTCCAGAATGTTGAGAGCAATCAGAGCCGCGATCCCTTGTCCGTTGGGAGGAATTTCCCAGAGCCTGACCCCCTGCAAGACATTAAGCACAGCGGCACTGGAACAACGCCCTTCCTGTGGGAGAGCAGATCCGATAGACCTCCCTGTGAAACGCACCCCCACTCCCAGATTCAACTGGCAGAGAGCTCGTGAGCTCTGAGGTGCATTCTGGGCCACGACAATGTCAACAAAATTCAGGCACGCCGGCCTACGAACCGCCTTCGTGAATTCTTTACATAAAACGTCACAATCTTTTGTTCTTTTATTTTTAAAACATGTCTCTTCGGCTGCCAGCATTTCCTATAACCTTGGAACAAAATAGCATGAGTCGCTCGCTTGGGAGTCTGACATTATGAAGGGTTTTAAAAGTGAACCAACTAGGGAATTCCTCACACTACAGCGAATTCAACTGGAAAATATCCTAACACTACCTTTAAATCCCAAAGCACTACATTCCGGGATGAGTTTGAAATGTTAGTCTATTTGTTAAGCTTTAAAGGACTTCAGGAACCAGAGTTTATGTTTTCAATCTGTAAATATAAAGTTACCTGCTCCATGCCATTAAGTGCCCAAGATATACACAAATATGTTGTTCCGCATAGCTGCACCCAGGAAAAAGCTGCCCAGTTCTATTGTTGAAACAGCTGAATGAAAATCCTGAATCAATTAAGTACTAGTAGCCAAGGCTAAGATGGTCTCCACTTGCTTATAAGCTTTCTAATGTTTTTGTGTTTTGAGAGCACAAGACACAGAGCGGTGAGACGCCACTGTGTTTGAAAAGCTGCACAGGAAGCCCACCGCGCTGGGGGAAGTCCCAGTTTCCTGGGCGGGGCCTAAGGCCTCTCGCTTACTTTGTAATCTGTGTAAATGGGCCGAACCCTGGAACTGGTGTGACACTTGAGGTCCTCTAAGCACAGAACTCCACCATTGCTACGGACAACATCCACCACAGCTTCTGCTATTCTCCCTTCATAAAACCCAGACTTCCCGTGCACGGCGATCTCCTGTGAAAGAAACAGCAAAATTATTCTTCATCCATTGCACCTCCCTGCATCTACTGCTCCCAAAACCACAGTACCTGTGCGCATACCGCTTACCTCTAGAGAAGCAGGGAAGCCTTTTCCACTCTGTTAAAAAAGACAGTCCCGGTATACACAGACATTTACAAATAACAGAACATGCAAACCTGATTTTTCCAAATTGGAAACCTGCCTGTAAGTTTAAAACTAGTGTTTGATACTAATTTATATATGGGCTTTGTTAGTGAGCAAAAAAACGGATCTTCGTAGAAATATTAACCATAAGGTTCACCATTCAGTATCTATCCAGATCCATAAACCACTGGTCATGATGGTTATGGTTTGTATCTGCTTTGATTTTCTAGTAATTTTAAGTTCTTGTAAACCACAACAAGAGCTGTTGGGAGCAACATGAACACACTGCTGCCAGCTCAACATCTTGCTGCTCTAGGTACAATAAAAAACACAAAAGGCAACAATCGTTCAGGTAACGCCGAACAATATTTCTTCCATCTCCATCGTGCTTCTAAAGTTCAGGTCATTTGCTTAAGTTAACATCACTGTAGCACCAGGGAGGGGCCCTTGTCAGTCTCCGAATGACTGACTCAAGCCACAAGCTGGAACAGAAGAGATAACGCAGTAAATGATGATCAGCTCACTACCCTGCGCGTGAACCATACAGCACCTGACCTTCTGGAAGATGGGCCCGCCCCTGTGGCAGCACACGATTGACCAACACTACTAGGGAAAGTGTGATTGATGCCTCTCTCTCCCAATCTGCACTGGCTCTCCTGTGGGGCTCCATGGAGCTGCAGAGTCCGCACATGAGAGACAGATACTGATCAAAGCAATTTTTGTCACCTCAGAAATATCGCTAGACTACGCCCTATGTTATCACTAACTGTGGCTGAAAAACTGATCAACACATTTCGGTTCTCCCGAATTGACTACTGTAATGCTCTACTCACTGGGGTACCTAAATCTACTTTGAACAAACTGCAGTTTGTCCAAAATTCAGCAGCCAGAATCCTGACCAGGTCTTGTGCAAGTGATCACGTTACTCTTATCCTGGAGTCCTTGCACTGGCTTCCTGTGAAATTCTGTGTGGGCTTTAAAATCCTCATGCTCACCTATAAGGCTCTGCATTGCTTGGCACCTCAATACCTGTCTGAACCATTATCGCCATACTCCCCAGCTCGCAACCTTCGCTCTTCTAATTCTGGTCTCCTAACTGTCCCCCAAGCCCGTCTACATTGTAGGGGTGACAGGGCCTTCTCCTGTTATGCCCCCAAGCTCTGGAACTCTTTGCCCAAGAATATCAGAGAGTCACCTTCTCTAAACTCCTTCAAATCCAGACACAAAACCTCCTTCTTTAGAAAAACCTTTACTGAACTGGTTCCATTCTTCACCCCTCTGCTCCTACTTTACTTAGTACCACCATCCACGGTCTCCTCTGTGTATTGTAACTGTGTTTTACCTTGTGTATTCTTTTAATTTGTTGTTGTTGTCATTCTGTAAAGCACTTTGAGAAGCCACCTTTAAAGGCGCTAAAGAAAATAAAAGTTTATAATTATATCATCATTAACGCAGGAGCATTGCAGCACTAATTAGGATCAGATCTGTATCGAACAGGTAAATAAATAATGCAAGGAGCCAAGGGGATATGCAGCTCCAGTCCTGGTGCTTTCAGTCCCCTGTGGACTTGCCAACCTCACAGAGCTCTGTTTCTCAGGCCAAAGGCCGGTGTCCCTGAGGAGCTCCCTCAGAGGCCTGCTGATGAGCTGTGGGCGAGTCACGAGTCTCCGGCTGCACTGAAGGAAGCGTGCAGGCGGCACACTCCCCTCCCCTACCTCCCTCACACTGCCAGGGCGTGTCCTGCCCGGTCACGCAACGCGCTCTCGTGTCGTGTCTTGAGATTTTTACTGGGAAGAGCGTGGAGGATTGGTAGTGTCCTAAGCTATTACTATAGAACAAAGTCCTAATGCCTCCTGATGTTCTGACAACATAGCAAAGCTTTGCTAATGCAGATGAAACGTGCTGTAAACTATATGTACTGTAACAACACAGTAAATGGAGCAGAAATACTGATACAGAAATACAGAAAAATGCTAGGCATTTCTCTGTACTTCCCTTTTAGTATTGAAATCTGCCAGTGGGCTAACAAATTAATTAACAAATTGAAAGTGTGTTTATATTTCAACATTTCTCCCTATAGGAATCGAAAATCTGTTGAATTCAGCAGCACACCTGTTTACACAAACAGAAACCAGGGAGTACGCATTACCAGACTTAAATTACCTTGAATGTCTGAGCCAGAAGAGGGTTAGCAAACACTTCCCCCTGTTTTGGTGCTTTGCTGTTTAAGAGGAAATTCTCTGCGAGTTTTTTTCCAGCACTCTCCAAAGTCTTTGCCCATTTTTCCCAGTGGTGGGCTGTGATTCCGGCCACAGGGAAGCCCCTTTCAGCAAGGTCAATGGCGGGTTGCAGAATGTCACCCAGAGAGAGCTGCAACACAGCGAGCTTTAATCAATCACTGGCAAACACACAGTTCAACACAAGCACGTACAACAGCTGGCTGTACTATACACCAGCTCACTGCCTTCCAGGCTATTGACTCAGGTTTGATTCCAATTCGAAAACATGCCCCCCGGGGTACTGTACTATGTTTTTATCATGACTACCCTTAATTATTATAAGATTTGTAAGGCTAACTATTGAGCTCTGTTGAAAAGAATCTTGTCTGGCTCCCACATTCAACGCCTGGTGAAAATATTCACCTGGTAAGCTACAGCAAAACTGTTCACATAACAACATTAAACGGGCTTTTTGCCTATTTTTTATGGCCAAACCTAGGGGGCTGAGATGTTCAGCGAAAAGCAGATCAGGCCTGGATTCAGAGCGTAACTGAGCAGATGAACTGGACAAAGACAAGTCCGAAAGGACGTCCCCTGCTGGGGAACACCCTGTAAATGCTGAACACGTGACATACAAACGAAATTCCTGAACTAGTGCCGCTGTTGGGGAGAGGAAAACGTTGAGGGGCTGAAAGCCTGGTGCCGGTGCTGTGAACAACACAACTAAGGCTGATGCCACAGGCTGGCTTGGGAGTTTCACCAGCTACGAGGAAAGAGGGTGCACTGTCGGTCGGTGGGGAGCCTAGGAGACCACCGCAGGCACCCCGGTCGGAGGGCTCTTACTGACACCAAACATAAGGAAAAATGTTATTCGCCGGGGATGGATGACGAGGAACAACAAACAGGGAACACCAGCTCGCCTCCCCTCAGCACGGGAAATCCTGCGCACTGCGATAAATTTAAAAGCCCACTTAATAGCCTTACATGGTCAGGTCAAGGCTTAATATAAAAAAACTCTGCTCTGTTGTGAAGTCTAAACACACAGGCCTGGCACTGGGGAATAGGCAGGGCCTTCCTGAATTTAATCTAACACTCATTCCATGCGTAATAATAATAATAATCATACTTTCTGGTCCCACAGTCACAGTTTATTCTGAGACTTGTACGAAGCCAAGTGCACTTTACAGAAAAACATATCCTTTTCTATCAATTTCTATCAATTATTTATTGTTGCGGATTAACAACGGGATGATGCAGTATTTCTCGGTTGCTACAGTTTCAGCCCAGATTCCCTACAGAATGTCTTCAGTTACAAGTTCCGTTAAGTTTTTATTTATCTAAGGATGCAACCTTCCAGCTGAAATCACATTCCTCTTTGCGGCGAGGTTCAGAATTCCCGGCTCAAATATCAGTGCCGCCAGTTCCAATATTGAGCCTTTAGTGAAAAACATATATGATCAAGCTGTAACAGAAAATAAATGCTCGGCACCATTAACAAGTTTAATTACATCTGTGTCGCTGTTCTTAAATTTGGGCAGTCCCATTTAGAAAATTACAATCATAAAACAAAACAATCAAGAGTTTAAATCGTTGAATACCATTTTTACGGAATATAGCAACGGACCTTGACATTCAATAACATGATTCTTTACATCTCAGTGTGTATTGTTACCGATTTCACCATGAAATCTCCTCTGACTGACTTGTATTGGGCCCTAGTGAAGCCTAGAGTGAAGTGCTAGCGTACAGAACCCTCACTCGTCCTCGCTGAGCTGCCGTGAAGACTCCTAGTGAACACGGGGAGCCGATGCTCGCTGGCACGACTGCAGCCAGTTTGTCAGAGGGCTCTGCGCGCCGCACACAGCAGCTGCTGCACGGCGGCTGTGTCGGTTCCCTCTCACCACAGGGTGTGACCCTGCCGCTTGTTAATTAGAAAGCTGCTCTTTAATTGAGGAAGTAAACTAATAGCGAAAGGAGAGACGCCAGGTGTGGGTACCTTCCTGCTGCCGAAGTCCTGCACAGCGTCGCACCAGCCGGCCGCCGCCCCTGGCACGGTGACCCGCAGGGCGTGAAAGGGAGAAGGCGGGTTGCTCTCGCTGAAACCCAGCCGCTCCAGGGCGTCCAGGCTCAGCGCCCTCGGGGACCTGCCACTGGGAACAGAGCGGACAGCCGTCGGCAGGGGCTGCGGGCAGGCCACGCCCGAGGGCTCCACGCTTCCCTTCTCGCCTTCCGTGGGGTGAAACAGGCCTTTTACAAAAACCCAAACGCCTGTCTTTGAAATGAGCTGTGCACCTCCGATATTCTTTTTGTGTTCCAAGCCACCGTAGGCTTGGTCCGAGCAGGGAGCTGCGTCAGCGTGCGCAGGCTGCAGAAGAACAAGTGAAGGTTTATTCCCTGCTGAAAAGAGAAGAAAGGAGACGCAACGTTTCGGCCCTGGAGCCTTCTTCAGCCTTCACACACCTAAAGAAGGCTCCACATCCGAAACATTGTGTTTCTTTTCTTTTCCTTTCAGCATGGAATAAACCTCTATCTGATCCATCGTAGAACTGGCTTCTTGTTTTAGGGAATGTCCCTCACAAAGTGTGTCTGAGCAGCCCAGAGGAGGGTAAGACAAAGTTCGTTGTGCGTGTACGCAACAGGAAAGCAGAAGAAGTATTAAAAGATGAGGAAAACGGATTAAGAATACCAACAGAAGTCAATTTTAGTTGAGACTGGTACAAACACCCTTACAGATCCCATTACGTGTTAAGATGTAACTAGAAAAAGCCGTAAAAACCTTCTTCCAGAGTCGTTGGGAGCTGAATTAAAAAAAAAAAGCACCATAAAAGTACAATTCACGCCAACAGATAACACCAGTGCTGTGGTCTAAAACTAGACCATGATAAGGGTGAATGAGAGAGCCTTACAGGGAACTGAGTTCCCCAAGTGGAATGACTTTGTAATGTACAGTAACCACTGCAACAAAGAGACTTAAAAAGGATTAAAGAATTTATGTAGGTTTTTGTTGAATGCTTTGTTAAACAGTGGGATACAAAAAACGGTCGGAATCCAATATATCACTAATTGCTCTTACTCCCTTTGGTAAGTCTGTACCCCAAAAACGACTGCGCGCTGCGTAAGCTGGCGGACGCGGACAGCGCCTCCGAACCCGGGCCCTGGTCTCACCTGCCGTTCAGGCCCCGGACCTCCCGGGTCTTGGCGTCGTAGAAGAGGCAGAAGCAGTCTCCTCCCACGCCGGTACTGCAGGGCTCGGTGACGGCCAGGGCTGCCGCCACCGCCACGGCCGCGTCGGCTGCGTTACCCCCTTTCTTTAAAATATCTGCGGGGGGGGGGGGGGGAACACGTCAGGCACCCCCGGCCGCCACAGCAGGCCGAGAGCAGAACCAGCGGGTTAGCAACGGCCTCGACGACAGAGACGGACACGACGGGGACTGGCGTCCAGACCGCGGAGCGGGACGCGCTCTCGACAGCACCGTGATTGTGTAGGAGGTAGGAGTGGGACACAAGCGCTGGGAGTAGCAGAACTTCAATCCATTCAGCTGCCAACGGAGTAGCAGCACAACTGAAAAGCAACAGCAGAACGCGATCCGTCCTGCTGACGGCGCACCAGAGCTTCACTCTGTGCTCTCTAGCAGTGCACCTATAAAACACCCAAACCACAGCCCCGCAGTAAGTGACGCGGCCCTGCAGGGGGCGACAGTGGAGGGGCAGGCGCTGCTGCCTCATCGGACCCGGGTTCCCCGGTGAAGTGTTGTCTCCATGTGAGAGTGCGTGTGCTCCAAAGAGGGCTGGTGTCCCATCAGGGTGTTGGACCCTGGCCCATCACAACAAAGAT